AAAAAAAAAAAAAAAAAAAAATAGCCAAACCTTAGCAAGTCTCAGCCGTGGCTGTCGGGCCACCTCCTGAGCTGGGCTGGTGCGGGTTTGTCACTGGTTTCCTTCCAGGTTGTTGGGGCGGGGGATGGGGCAGTGTTGTATGCCCTCCCCCCACCCTTCCCTGCCACCACCGGGCATTGCCTCTCCCCTGGCATCTGACCACCAAACCCCTTTCTCCACAGGGGAGCCAATCCTGCAGCTGCTGGAGGGCCGGAAGGGTGATCGAGAGGCCCAGGTCTTTGTAAGGCTGCGGCGGCAGAGGGCCAAGCAGGCCTCCCAGCATGCCCTGCGGCCTGCACCGTAGCTATGGAGGTTTGCAGTAGGGCCAGGTACCTGGTGGGGACCTGCAAGGGCTTTCCTGAAAGGTCTGAGGCTTCCCTGCCACAGCACAGCCCTCCAGCCTGGCCTAACTTTTAAGGAGCCCAGTATGCAGACCTCCTCCCTGCCTCCCACAGTGATGGGGGCTCAGCAGAGATATCTCTATCCCGCCTCCCTGTCTCCAGCCCTGGCTACAACTTCTCTGCCGCCTCCCAGCACCAGGGGAAGCAAACTCTGCCCCTGCCCACCTCTCGGAAAAGCTGCTCTGGTGGGCAGGGGATGGGGCCATTCGTCTCCTGGCCTTTCTGTTCCAGCCATTGGGGTGGGGGCCAGGTTCACTGGGAGCAGGGCTGCAGGCACAGAGCCTCCTGGGGAAGGGACAGGGGACCCTGCCAAAGATGAGGCTCCAGCTGCCCTGAGGGGAAGGTGGTGACCATTACTAGAGGGAGCCTGGGTCTTCTCCCCAGGGGCTGCCAGCACCCAGGCCAGGAAGCCTGGAGGCAAGAACCTTCTGGCTCTGAGGGAGCGAGAGCTGGCAGGTGGCAGGGGGTGTCACCGACAGACGGAAGCAGAAAGGACAGTTTGGCCACTGTCTGCTGCACTCCACTCCTCCCCAGACAGCACCTGCCACCCCAGATAGCACCTGCCACCTAGAAACTTTCTTAGTAAAAATAATAAAAACCAATTCATTGTCCTCTTAGAAAACGTACCTTCAGCCTACAGTGGGACCAAGAATGCGACGAGCCAGGCCAGTTGGTTTCCTCCCCGGCCCTCAGGGGACCTTGACCTACCACCACCCTGGGGCAGCTACAAAGCAGGGAGGTGGGTGTAGGTGTAACTGAGGCAGAGGCAGGGTTGGGGTGATTTTTGGCTGTGGGCTTTGAACAAAGGGCTTCACCAGAAATACCAGGTCCTGCGGCCACACCCAGGACAGGGACCTGTTCCTCAGGGGAGCACAGTCAGCAGGGACCTCCCAGGGGTGCAGGTAGAGGCTGAGGGGCTGCTCTTGAGATAGTGGGGCATAAAGGAGCTGGGGTCTCTACCCTGCCTGGGGGGTGTCGGAGCCTGAGGCCTGGTCATCACATCATCCTAGCTGTGTGACCCTGGTTCCATGCCTGAACCTCTCAGTCTGCACAAGATGCTGGGAGGTGAGATTAGCCGAGATGACCTCCAAGGCCCCTTGTAGCTGTAAACCTGAGGCCATGCAGAAGATCCCACCAAGGTGTTTTCTCACCCCAACTGGGAGCAGGGTGGGGCAAAGGAGGCAGGAGGCAAGATGGCTTCTAGGCTCTACCAGCAAATTCTCCCAATGGGAAGGCACTGGGTTTCTTGTTTTTGTGATGGGAGTCTCAATCTGTTGCCCAGGCTGGAGTGCAATGACATAATCTCAGCTTACTGTAACCTCTGCCTCCCAGGTTCAAAGGATCCTCCTGCCTCAGTCTCCTGAGTAGCTGGGACTACAGGTATGTGCCACCACACCTGGCTAATTTTTGTATTTCTTTTTTTTTTTAGTAGAGACGGTGTTTCACCATGTTGGCCAGGCTGGTCTCACTAATAGCTGACCTCAGGTGATCTACCCATCTCAGCCTCTGTTTTTGTTTTTGAGATGGGGCCTCACTGTCACCCAAGCTGGAGGCAGTTGTGCAGTTATGGCTCACTGCAACCTTGACCTCCTGGGCTCAAGTGATCCTCCTACCTCAGCTTCCTTAGTAGCTGGGACCACAGGCGTGCACCACTGCGCCCAGTTGGGAAGACACTGTTCCTCTGAGACACAATTAGGGGCCCTATTGCTTTTTGGAAAACATCAACAGGGAAGCCAGTCACCACTAACCACACAACCCTAAAGAGTCCTAGGGCCTGGGAGGCCTCGGTGTCCAAGGCTAAGTGTTCCTGTGTCATCAACCCCAGCAGGCCTAGGTTGGAGAGCACTTGAGCTGTCTCGAGGCCTGATGGGTCCAGGGAGCCTCCAGGCCTCTCCAGCTGCCTTACCATACCTCAGGGATTTGGGCACCAGCTATTTCCATGACTGAGGCAGGGTTCCTGGACAACCTCATAGTTCAGAGGCCCTCTTTTGGGGCCCACTCCCCCTCACCCCATGTAAACAAGCTATCACTGTAAGTTCATATTTTATTTCCAATAGGTTTGGAGCTTTGTTGATTTTTGCATTTTTGTAAAAAAGGAAAAAGTTTTCACTTAATTCATTGAAAGCCCTTTCGTGCTGAGCCCAAGGGGGAGCCTGGGCCAGGACCAGATCCTCTCAGCCCTCTTGCTCCTATCCCAGACACCCGGTGCTGGGGGCGTGGCTGCTACCCTCCGCCCGCTCTGCCCTCCCGCCCCTGCTGCATCTCTTTCTGTACAGAACAATTTTTAAAATGGAAGCTAAGACACAATATACACTGGACAGGCGCACACACACACGCACGCACACAGGCGTCCGCCCAGAACAGGGCAGGACACCAGCTGCACTCAGAGAGCACCAAGGAATGCATACGGAGCTCCTCTGGGGAGGAGGGCAGGGCCTAAGCCCCCTTGGTCCTCAGTCCACACTCCTCCCGGCCAATTGCCCTGCTAGCTGCCAGAGGGGGGAGGGGACAGGGATAGCTGGGGGCTGCTGGGGGGGGGGTCATAGAATGAGTGCCAGCCTGGTAGGTGACCCTGGGGCCAGGGAGGCTCTTGTGGGGAGTCCAGGGGGAGAGGACTGAGGGTAGACCCCAGGCCTCAGGAACCTGAGGGCTAGAACTCCTGGGCCTTGCCCCTCGAGGGGCTTCAAGGGCCCAGGTGTCAGGAGTGGGGCTGGCCCCGAAGCACTGGCCTCCAGCCCTTCTTGTTCTCCCTAGGACTCAATAAACATTTGGTAAACCTAGGAGCTACACCAGCTGAGGCCCCCCCACAGCATACCCCCTCGGGCCTCCCTGAGGCCCTCACAGCTGGGGACTAGGCCCACCCTGGGGGACCCACATCTTCCACACTCCACCCTTGCCCTGGCAAGGAGGGAGGGGGAGCAGGGTCTGCCCTGAAGGCTTCTCCCTCCCCTGAGTGCCTTCCAGTCCCACCCTTGCCTGCTCAGGCCTCAGGAAGAAGTTAAAAATGGTTAGTTCCTACATTAAAAAAGAGACAAACAGATTCTCTGCCAAAAGGCCAGTGGGAGAAGGGATGTTGTCTGTGCGGTGGGAAGGGCAGGGAGTGGGTAGGGGAGGACTGCAAAATAGTTTCTTCTTTTAAAAAGTGCTTGGTAAGTCTTTTAAAGTGTGTGTCTATATCTATGTACAGATATACACACAGACACTGTCCACGCCACCACGCATACCTGCACACATACGGAAATGTATACATATACATAATCATATACATATACATACATACACACACACATTATATATATATATATATATATATATATATATATATATATGTATATATATATATACTCGTGTATATATATATACTTTAAAAAGTCCTAGATGAGAAGATCTGAGCCAGGCTGGGCCAGGCCTGCAGGGTCACGACTGGAGGGCGTGGGCCCGGCCGGGCTGGCAGATGGGGCACTCGCTGCCCTCGGCGCAGAGCTCACACAGCGCAGCATGTTGGCATGGCAGCACCGCCCGCTTCTGTTCCTGACACTTAAGGCATTTCACTGACTGCATGTGGAATACGGCCTGTGGGAAAAGGGGCATTGTAGTTACCAGCCATGGGTCTAGCCTCAAGTTGAGCAAGGAGTTCCCTTGATCCTCACTTCAGCCCTCTTGGGATGGGGAAACTGAGGCACCAAGCTCAACAGTGTGCTCCCAGAACCCTACTGGCAGGTGAGAGAGCAGGCTGAGTCCACCTCTGCATGGGGCACGGCCAGCCTCTGACAACACCCATCCCTCATGGAGGCTTTGCCCAGTCTCATTTGACCTTGTAATCCCCAAATGGGGAAAATGAGGCTCAGAAAGGGCTGGGACATGCCCAGGGCCACACCTGGGGGCCTGGCTGCCAGAGAACAAAGGAAAGACAGCTCTTCCCACCATGCCATGCTGGCCCCTGGGACCCAGCAGGAGACCTGGGAGGCAGGGCAGCCCTGGGGTCCTGGGCCTCTCTGGAAGGTCCGCCGCTCCATGGAGGGTATACAGGATGACTTACTTAGGGCCCAGGCATTTGAGCGCAGCTTGGTCAGGGCCGCCCTCAGGGGTGCTGGCACTGATGCCCCTCACCCCTAGCCTTCTCACCTTCCCCGCTGCACTCTCCTTACCCACTCTCAGCAGGCCGCCCTTTTGAGTGCTGGCCCAGTGCTGGACAGAGACCCTCAGGAAGGTGGCCAATCCTGGAGCAGCCTGGACCAGGTCAGAGTCCAAGGGCTGGCTGAGGCCACTGTACACCCCACCCAGGGTTCCCCAACCTGGCTGACCTTGTCCACTTGCTCCAGGTGGGCCCGCAGCTGCTTCTGGAGGGAGTAGAGGGTGGAGAGAGACAGTGCCTCCAGGTCGGAGAAGGCGGGCAGGGCCTGGGGCTCGGGCCCTGTGTGTAGCCGCTCTAGCTCCTCCTGGAGCTTCTTCACCTGCACCTCCAGGGCGTCCCTCTGTTCCCGGGCGAGCTCACACTCAGCACCCGCCGCGCTGGCCCGCTCACCAGCCTCCTCTGCCTCCTTCTTCCAGGCGTCACAAGCCTGTGGGCCCAGCATACAGTCTCATCACAATGGCCCTGCCTAACCCGTGTCCCCAGAGGAAGCGAGCGAACAAAACTGAGTTTCTGCTCTGTTCAAGTCCTGCTCTCCCCCACCCCAGGCCCGCTCTGTGAAGGAAGGTCTTCGGCTGGATGCCCCCAGGCATTGGGGAAGGCCACAGGCCCGGGGCCTGGTACCTGTTTGGCCTGCTTCCAGGACTCCTCCCACTGCTTGATGGTGCTATTAGCTTCATCCAGCTCTTGCCGAAGCCGGGCCAGCTCAGCAGCCCCTGGCCCTGACAGGAAGGCGGGGGAAGTGCCCGGGGAGAAGCTTCCAGAGGCAAAATGTTCCCAGATGCTGCTGTTCATCCCATTCAGACCTGCCCCAAGGAGGAGAAAGACATCAGCTCTGGAGGACTTTGGGCCCAGGCCCTAGCCAGCCCTGCCTCAGGGTTCCAGGAACTGGCTGTCCACTGGATGGGTACGCAAAGCTCCAGCTAGTATCAGGCCAGAGAATTTTGCAGGGACAGGAAGGCTGTGACGGTGCAGGTGATGTGGGCGGAGTGAGACCTAACCTTAAGTTTCACCTGCTACTTGATGCCACTTGCCTTCTGAGGCTCAGCATCCTCGTGTGGGAAATGGGGCTCCCATTGCTGGCCTCACAGGGTAACTCAAGGGACTCAGGAAGTACTGCACGTGAGAGCAGTCCCAGGCGCCTGGCAGTGCCAATTTATGATTGTGGCCTTTTTGCACCCTGATGTGAGGCCCAGGAAGAGATAAGGGTTTTTGAAAAGACAGAGCCAGCCGGGGCAGGAAGAGTTCAGGTAGCCTTGGGGCCATCCCACCTGTTTTACAGACAAGGACCCTGGATAAAATGTGTTACCAAGAACCCTACAAATTTTAAGTGGTAGGGTCAGGACACAGAGAGGGCATCTGGTTCCAAAGGTCCATGCTTTCCAGTAAACTATGCCGCATGCACAGCCACCCACCCACCACCAATCCAGCCACCCTCTGCTCACTCGCTCAAAAGATGTTTACTAACATCAGGTCCCCCTGCTCTGGCCCCCTGGGCAGCCCCTGTCTTCCCTGAGAAGGACCCATATATCCACCTCTGGCCTCACTCTGCCTACATGCACTTTCTGGTTGACATCTTCCTTGTTCCCTTTCCCACTAGTCCAGTCAGGATGTTCCAGAACCAAGTTTAAGACGCTTTGCTCTCTGAGCCGCACAAGTGCACCCACAGAGGAGGGGCATGGTCCTGTGTGGAGACCCTGCAGCAGACACTGTCTGAGCTATCTGCCCTGTCCCTGAGAAAGACCTCAGAGTCACCCCACTCACGAGACCAACCCTGTAGCACGTTCTCCTGTCCTGCCCATCTCTCCTCCTCCCTCAGAGAAGCTCTCCCGACTCCGCTGTCCAGGTAGGTCCCTCTGCAATTCCCAGGAGGATCCCAACGGCTATGCCCCTCTGCTTCCCACACTGGCATGGCTGCAGGGCACATCCCACTGCTGGGACTGTTGCACTCACACCTGCATCAACACAGCTATGCTCAACAGTCACATGGTACAGGAAGGTATGCGTGGCCAGTAAGTGGGGCTAAGTCAAGATGCCACCAGAAGCTGGGTGTGGTGGTGCACGCCTGTGGTCCCAGCTACTCAGGAGGCTGAGGTGGGAGGATCACCTGAGCTCAGGAGTTCCAGGCTACAGTGAGCTATGATCACACCATTGCACTCCAGCCTGGGTGACACAGTGAGACCCTATCTTGGAAAAAAAAAAAGATGCCACCAGAATATGTGGCAAGTCTGGAAAATGCAATACCAGATACCTGAAGCTGACAGAATCAACAACAGAGAACAGCCTCTTCAAAACTGCAAGGTGCTAGGAGAGCCATGTGCTGCTCTGGGATCAGGAATGACATAAGGGAAGCCACGAAACCCAAGCAGAACTCTGAAGGGCTCAGTCCCTGGGTCTGAGCAAAATGCCGGCACTCTCGGGGAGGGAGCTCCCGGTCTCTGAACAGCTGCTGGGGGGAGTGAGAGCAGGGGTGCCACGTGCTTCCCATCCCACTCTCAGGAGCACCCCCTGACATACACACACACACAAGAGGAGATGCACAGCTGGCCCGCAGAGGCACAGTCCCACAGGTCTCTGCACCATTCTTCTAGCCACTAAATCTTGAAGTGCCCTCAGGAACCCCCAGTCCGCACCATTCTAATTCTGTGTTGGGCAAACAGCGTTCTGGGCCAGCCCTGGGCCTCCCTGGCAGGAAGGGCACCTGGAGGCAGGGGTCAGCCTGTCTAGCTTCTCCCTTGGTGCCCATGAACCTGGCTCGTGTGAGCCAGCCTCTCAGAGCCTGGGGTGACTGGGCAGAAGAGAACATGCTGTGAGAGACCAGGCCTGGCCCTGGCAGCTCCGAGCCCCCGTTCTCACTCGCACTGGCCTTGTGCCGTGCACTTCAGACCCATTATTCCATTCAACCCTCACAACAATCATAGGAGGCAGAGGCTGCTGTTTCACAGCAGAGGAAACTCAGGTAGAGAGGCTCAATCACTTGTCCAGGGTCTGACTCTGCCTCCTCGCCCAAGGCCTATGCCCTAACCACCAGCCTGGCTGATGTGCCTCAGACAGGGTGGCCAGAGACACCTTCTAAAGGCTCAGGTTCCTGCCCCGGGGCTTATCAGTGAGCTACTCCCCTTCTTACCCAAAGATCCATGTGATGCTGAGGTCCCCAAAAATGTATTTTCCGACTGGCTCAGGTGGCCCTGGGGCTGCTGCAGGAAATGCGAGGAAAGGCTGACGGGAGGGGATGGGGACGCTGAGTGGAAGGAGGCAGAGCTGCCCAGGGAGCCGGGGATGTTCACGGGCGCAGAGCTCTGTAGCAAGCTGCCGCCTGCAAGAGAGGCCCGGGGAGGGTGGGCCGGGTGAGGCCAGGACAAGCCAGGCGGGCCACATGGAGCAGGGGGCCTGGGCCAGGTGGGAACCTGAGGAGTCCTCCAGGCTGCCCTGCCCACCCCGCCCCGTACCAATGGTGATGCTTCCTGGGTGGGGCACCGTGCTGTTATCGAAAGTCTTCTCCAGGGCAGCCACACCAAACTCATTCAGGTCCAGGTCATCCAAAGCAGACTCTAGGGACAGAGAGGAGGATGTGACCTCCTAAGGGCCCGTCTGACCCTGACCACCTCATCTCCTGCCCACGCTGCATCTTCACACCCGTGCCGCACTGGGCCCATGCTCTCCCAAGCCCTGCACCCTTCCTTCAGCTGCCTCCTGTGGCAACCCTGACTCCTGACGCCGCGTGCCGGTCATGTCCAACCCAAATGTCTCTCCTTCCTGAATCCTTCTTTGACACTTCCAGGAGGAATCATGTCCTCCTCCAGGGTCCCTGCCTCGGACAGGGGCCTTGCCCCTGATGTTACAGCTCGAAAGTCTCAGCCCTGGGCTCAGTGGGCGTGGGCAGGTCTCTGGGCACTCAGTGGCTGGCGTAGAGCAGGTGCTTGACAAATGTCCACTGCATGGGAAATTTCCCTCTAGAGGGCAGGAGCAGCATGTTGTCATCTGTCTCCCCAGTGCCTACCACAGGACCTGGCGCAAAGCGGTCACCTAGAAATGGGTACTGAAAGAAATGAGCACTGACTTCTAACACAAGAAATTCTGAGAACGTCGTGCTGGCTGTTCACTGCACAAGGATACCAGTGAGATGAATGGGGGCTGAATGACATGTCTTGGGGTGAGACTATCCTCACCCGGGGAAAAGGCGCCTCTAATTTGAGCAAAGGAGTTCTAAGGGCCAGTCTTGGCCCTACACCTTGGGGTCATTCACCCTTTAGCTCAAAGGACCTGGAGTGCCCACCCTGATTTTCCCAAGACAGATGTCTAAGGGGACTGGTGTGCCTATTTGAGTCTTGCTTCAGAGACGGGGGTGTCCCTCGCCCCAGACCCAGTCCTGGGCTTGCAAACAGAAATGGCCTAGTTACCTATGACGGACTCTACCGTGTCGCTGGTAGGGTAGAAGGGGAGAGCATTTGCATTCATGCCAGGGATGCTGCTGGTGCCCACTGGGCTAGGGGGGGTAGCTGCCAGGCTGGAGGTGATGCTAGAAGAGATGCTTGAGGTCAGGGGGCTGCCTGCGGGGAGAATGCCCAGCATGTCCTGCAACGAGAGAGGGAAAAAGAGAGGCAATGGAATGCCTGCATACGGAGGCCAGGAGAGGGGCTAGGGGCAGGGGAAATGGCCCATGCCAGCTCTAGTCCGGGTGCCCCCATGCCCAGATGGGCCCCGCCCACCCGACACCTTGTTGAGAGGCTGGAGTCGGAGGTGCAGAGGTTGCCAGGCCCACTCACCCCTACAGTCCTGTAGCAGGGAAGAGAGAAGCGAGTACAGGGCCTGGCACTGTGCAGAGGCTCCAGAAACACTTTCTCGACTGAGTCTAGGAGGTGAGGGGCTCCGGGGCCTGACCCGCTACCCTCTCTGGATTTGTGGCTGGGACCCCACTTTCATCCTGCCCTCAGCTTTCAGGGAAAGCGGTGCCTCCCACTTCCCGAAGCCTCCCGGGGTTCTGGGCCAGCCCTGTCCACAGCAGAGGGGAGGAAGGGGGCTGAGAGCTCTATACCTGTTTGGGCTGAAGCAGAGGCTGCTCTTGACTCCTGGGCTCTAGTGAGTGAGGTTTTAATTTGGCCTAAGAGAGAAAATTCAGGGAGTAGATGAATATGGTGCTGGGGTTCCCTGAGTCCATCTGACCCTAAGGCTGTAGGTTCCGGGGGCAGGTGGTGGCAGACATGCAGTGCCTCTTCACATGTGGGCACACCCCTCCTTCTTCCTCCCACCCCCTACTCCCTTCCCCTACCCTAAGCAGGGAGCTGCCCTTCTCCTCCAGATGACTCTACGCCTTATGTAAGCCCGGAAGGTTTCTCTCCAGGCCCAGTTAGGGACCCCTGTGTCCTGCTTCCCCAGGCCCTGGCATTCCATGAAGGCAGCATGGGGCAGGGGAAGGACTGCTCCCAGGCGGGACCAGCTCCTCTCCTAACCAGCGCTGCGGCCCTAGGGAGGCTGTGCAGCTTCCCCAGCCTTCCTGGATTCAGCTATAAACAGGCTGACATTGCTTCCTCTGCTCAGTCCTGGAGAGGCTGAGGACAGAAGAGTCCTAGCTCCCAGTCATCCTCCCCACAGGTGGACCAGGACACTCTTCCAAGCTTCTCTTGCCCCACGCAGAAGGCTAACCTCACTGCTGCCCCCCTTATCCCTTACCTGGCATTTGAAATTTTTCAGGTACTCGGCTCCCACCTGGTCTTCCCTCTCGAAGCCAGGAGCTTTCTTATAGCTGCCAGGGGCCAGGCCAGACTCCCCAGGGAAGACAATGCCCTCCAGGTTTGGGGGCTTCCTGATGGAGCTGGGCGGGGAGCCGCAGAGGTTAGATGGGCTGCCTAGGCTGCTGTTTCTACAGAGGAGCTGTGGAGAAGGAGGGGAAGGAATGGGCCAGTAGGCACAGCACAGGCTGCTGTGTGACCTGTCCTCCAACCTCCACAGAGGCGAGTCTTCAGTAAGGGGCACTTTCATCTGCCAATGAGCAGCAATGACCACTTGGGGACTCCAAACCTCACAAGGGAAAGTGGGGTGACATCAGGCTTTGTCCCTTCCACCAGACCTACAGGCTGATCAACACAGACTCTGGAGACCACCCTCCCTCACCCCCCAGCCGGGGCTTTTGATGAAGAATGCCGGGATGGAAAAGACAGAATCCCCTGGCCCAAGGTCAAATACCAGGGTGATCTCCCCAGGCCCAGGCTGAAAGGGCCTAGGAGGCAAGCGTTGGCTCTATGAGGCATGGTGCCCACCCACTCCCCAGGATGGGCACGTACGGCACTGAGGTCAGGGGCATGCGGGCTGGAGGGGCTCACAGGCACCGAGTCTCCAGCGGCAGACGGCATGTACAGGACAGGACCCGGCTGGGTGGGGCTGGACACAGCTGAGGAAGGCTGCAGGTCGTCACTTAGGGGTGGCTCTGCAAGAGTCAGGGGCAGGGGTCAGCAGGCCCAAGCCAGCTCTGTCCCTCCAAAAATGCTCCTGGGTCCCTTCCAAAGGAGACCACGAACCCCCCTGCACATAAAGGAAGGGTTCCTACATCATCTCTAGTAACTCTGTGTCTGTGTGCTTACTGTGTGCCGGGCACTGTGCCAGCACTTTGCAGTAATTGTGAATCTTCATGGTGACCAGAAAATATCAGTAATATGGTCTCCATTTTATAAATAAGAAAACTGAGAAGCAGAGTAAAACCACCAAGGTGACAGAGCTAAAAAAACAGAAGAGCTAGGACTTGAACGCTGATCTACCAACTCCAAAGCCTGAATCACTTCCTTACGCTGTCTGAACCAGGTGGTCCCAATGCCCGGCGCTGGGCATCAAGAATATGCTTCTCCCTCCCAGGGCCCTCCATTTATTTTCCATTCTAATCTCACAGATAGGGCCTGAGCCTGGAAAGAGGTTAAGAAGACCCAGGGCAGTATCCTGGGGTGGAAAAAGGCGTTAATAGGTGTGCAAGCTGGAGCTCTGTCTCCAAGACTGGTGGCGGCCACAGTATCATGCTAAGGGTCCAGATCTACACTGTCCCATGAGGCAACCGAAGGCCTGATGTGGCTACTGAGCACCTGAAACAGGCTAGTCTGAATGGAAATATGCCATAGCACTAAAATCTGTATCAGATCTCCCAGACTTAGTACAAAAAAAGGTAAAATGTTTTGATGATATATATTTTTTGAGACTGAGTTTTGCTCTTGTGGCCCAGGCTGGAGTACAATGGCCTGATCTTGGCTCACTGCAACCTCCACTTCCTGGGTTCAAGGCACTCTCCTGCCTCAGCCTCCCGAGTAGCTGGGATTACAGGAATGCACCACCATGCCTGGCTAATTTTTGTATTTTTAGTAAAGACGGGGTTTCTCCATGTTGGTCAGGCTGGTCTCAAACTCCCGACCTCAGGTAATCCACCCACCTCGGCCTCCCAAAGTGTTGGAATTATAGGTGTGAGCCACTGTGCCTGGCTGTTTTGATAATTTTTTATATTGATCACTGAAATGATAACCTTTTATATTGGGCTTTTCTTTTTTTTGAGATGGAGTCTTGCTCTGTCGCCCGGGCTGGAGTACAATGGCACGATCTTGGCTCACTGCAACCTCCGCCTCCCAGGTTCAAGCGATTCTCCTGCTTCAGCCCCCTGAGTAGCTGGGATTACAGGTGTGTGCCACTATGCCCTACTAATTTTTGTATTTTTAGTAGAGATAGGGTGTCACCATGTTGGTCAGGCTGGCCTCAAACTCCTGACCTTGTGATTCACCTGCCTTGGACTCCCAGCGTGCTGGGATTACAGGTGTGAGCAACCGCACCCGGCTTTTTTTTTTTTATTTATTTCATTTTTTGGGACAAGAGTCTTGCTCTGTTGCCCAGGCTGGATTGCAGCGGCACAATCTCAACTCACTGCAACCTCTACCTCCTCGGTTCATGTGATTCTCATGACTCAGCCTCACGAGTAGCTGGAATTATAGGCATGTGCTACCATGCTCAGCTAATTTTCATATTTTGCTGTATTTGTTAACATGCTTAAAGATTTTAACTTTAAAATGATATATGGGGGTTGCATTATATTCTGACTGGCTAGCTCTGCTCTAGAGGTCTGAGCAGGACTCAGCAGAGAAGACCTCCATGTTCCATTAGTGATGTCTGTCATAGACATACCATGGGGTAGCTTCTGGGATTTGCCAAATCAGCTGTGAGAGGCACAGCGCCTCAACCCTCCCAGGGACCATGAGTGCCCAACCAGGGGGACGGTCCCTGCTGTCTCTGTCTTACTACCTTGGAAGCTCCAGGCTTTCAAGGCCACTTCCAGGAAGGTGGGGTAGTGGAGCGGACAAGGCCTGCTGCTGGCAGGCCAGGACTCCTGTGCAGGGCGTACTGCCAGGGGCCATCCCCTGCCTGAGCGTGAGCAGGCCAGGGGAGAGAGGGGTGGAGAGGGCACTGCTCTGGGGCAATGGGAACAGCATACGTTCTACGTGGGCAAAGGCGCAGAAGGGTCCTCGGGGACAGCTGCCCGACTGCTGCATGTCGTTGCACTTGGTGGACTTGTAGATCTGGAGGGCAGAGCAGAGGTGGGTCAGGCTCAGGCCCTGAGGGAAGGCCGAGCAGGCTCCCCTTCCTCCAGCATGGGTGGGCTGACTTAAGTCATCTCTTGCCCTGTGCCCCTGGCCCTCCCCTCCCCTCCACTATGTCTCTCCCTACCAACTTCTTATTCAAACTCCTGAGGCAGCCCACCACCACTCCCCACTGTCACTGACACCCTCCCTTCTGGGGTCACAGGGCCCACCAGCCCTCCCAAAGGGATCCCCCAGGGACTCTCCACTCACGGGCATGGCCAGGGCTGTGCCTCCAAGCATGCACCATGGGCATTAAGGGAGCCATGATCTCAGGCAGCCACCCTTGTCAACCTGCCCCCTGGTTTGTGACCTATACTAAGTAACTTTCCACTCTGCTGTCTGCAGGTACATGAGGTAGTTTCTGTCCGCATGTCTACCTCAGGGTGTCCTGCTTCCATGGAATACCAGGGGCAGGGACTGCAGGTGTCTCTCTGAACCCCAGACAAGACCTAGGCACACTGTTATGATCCAGGCTACCTCATGGAGCCAGAGGGCAGGGGAACTGTGTCAGGGAGGTTGCTGATAATCTAGGCTCTGATATGAGACAGGACAACGGGAAGGATGGGAAGGAGCTCGTTTATTTTTTCAATCCCTTATTTTTTTTTTTGAGATGGAGTTTCGCTCTTGTTGCCCAGGCTGGAGTGCAATGGTGTGATCTCGGCTCACTGCAACCTCCACTTCCGGGGTTTAAGCAATTCTCATGCCTCAGCCTACTGAGTAGCTGGGATTACAGGCATGCGCCACCACATTTGGCTAATTTTGTATTTTTAGTAGAGACAGGGTTTCTCCATGTTGGTCAGGCTGGTCTCAAACTCCCGACCTCAGGTGATCCGCC